TGGGTGTATTAATGAGTCTCTCTGATCCCCTTACCACGGAGGCATTGTATGTGCTGCCTCTTCGCTGGCAGCCATGTTCTCTCAGTCTACCACTGGACTTTTAAAGTTGCTTTTATGTCACCTGCCTGGTCCAGAAAACTTGTAGTTTTCAAACCTTCTCAAAATAAACGATTTGTCTGACCTGATTCCACATGAACTTGGACAAATATCACCTTAATGGTACACTATTGTTGTTATGGGCTTTACTTCTGGGCTTATTATTTTAAATATTTATAATAATAATGATAATAATAATAATTCATATTTTGCAGCAACCCATAGCTCTTGGGGCACTAAATTCTCTTTTCCCTTATGTTTGTGTTGTCGTATTGAATTTTTTTAAATAGTTCCAAAACCTTGGCATTTATCCTTGTTAGATTTCCTTGTGGGAATATTCTCCATGCATTATCTTTAAGAAACCACCTATTTGAGGAAAAGGCTCATGAACTAGAAAAGACATCACATCATCTGCACTTTCGGTAATACCCTTGTTGCCTCAACTAACAATTTTCCTGTTTTTTCACATAGAAGCCCTAAAGAATTTTAAGAGTAAGCTGTCTCCTTATGAGCAAAGTGAAATCCTGGGCTACACAGAGCTATGGTTTCTGGGGCTTGATGCTGAGAAACTCAATGTGGCTCCAGAGAAATTCAGCAAGACAAGTTTTGATGATGAACATGGCTCCTATCTGAAGGTGATGAGGGAGGAGGTCATGGTGACCTCAGGTGGCTTGGGTGCAATAGAGAGTATGGAAAGGAAAGCAAAAGGGGATATTTTATAATGTTTTGTGTTGAGATGACAGGAACTAGACATTCCAACAGATGCTAATGAGTGCTAAACCAAATAAACACCTTGTTTAAACATGAAATTTAGTATGCAAAATCTTCTAACAGAATGGTGATTTTCTTCAAGGGTATTTGGGATAACAAGTTTGCATCCTGAGTGAACTCTCACAGGCTATTCTCTTGCACCATCCTCGACCCCTAGGAAAAGATCAGACTGGAGTAAGATGCACTTGCCCCTCAATCTCCCTTTTTGTCTCCTCCACACAAGCCTATTCATGGCTCCTTTTGTGTTTTATAGCAGATGTCATTCCCTCCACAGATAAGAATAGTTTTTGTCACTGTAGTGTCCCTGGTGCACAGTGCTTTACTTCATTCTGTTTTTCAAAAATTGATTGCAGAGACTCCTCCTTTTCTGACTGTACCTCTGGGGATCCCAGGGTAATGCCTTTCTCTAGCCTGAGGATGAAATCTTGGACAGTGACCCCCTCTTCTGAGGATGCCTGCATGAGTGACACTTAGTCCACCAGGCTGTGAGCTGTCTGCACTTTCCTACTTCTGGAAATTCCATCAAAACTTGGTTTTAGGATATGAATCTTTGAGGGCTTCATAGAAGAGATAAATTTTCTTAACATCATGTTTCTCAAGTTTGACTGTGCACACAAATCACTTTGGGTTCCTGTTCAGGTGCAGATTTGTGTTTAGCAGGTCTGGGGTGGGACCTGAGATTTTGCATTTCTGAAAAGCATCTTGGTGAAGCCTATACCACAGGTCCTTAGGTAACACTTCTAAGAAGCAAGGATGTGATTTTATCACTCACTCTTCATCTAGAACCCTGTTGTTTTTTTTTAACAATTTTAGGTCAAGGATCCCTTTGAGTATCTTCATCCCAGAAACAATAAGCTGTGCATGTGCAATGCTTTGGGGCATTAATGGGTCCTTGGTTAAGAATCTTCAATATAAACATTTTCTCCAATTCAACCACATGTCCACAACCCCTCACTCCTTGCTCCTTCCTTAGCTTTGCCCTACCTGAGTCTAGAGTGTCTAAGAAATTACCTGGGGTGTCAATACTACCTTTATGGGAATTCACTGGAACTCAGTTCTTCAGTCTCAAATCTTAGAGAAGTATGATTTGCATGGGGAGAGAGGGATAATGTGCATTCTCTGTAAGCTCCAATTTTTATTCCTATTTTATTCCAGCATATACACAAATATATAATTCCTAAACAAATGATAGCTACATTTTCACAACAAATGTTAATTGTAAAATTATTTACTGAGCACCTGTCATAAGCTTGGCATCTATTAGACTCTGAAAATACGAAGGGAACTATCATGAGTCAAGTAGGCACAACCAAAGTCCAAGATGACATCTAAGCCAATAATTATGAGGCAACCAAACTGATGACATGAAGAAGATAAATGTAAATGCTTGAAAAATATATGCCAAATTTGTGCAGATTCTGTCCCATTTTCATGAAAGACCTTTTAGTCTAGACTAACCCTCTCTGATGTATCAGTAAAAAGTTTTACATACTCAAATTTATGGTGTTGATTCTTCTTTGTGAATAATCCTTTATCCTCAAACACACAGTCACAAACCAACCTGAAAACTTGTACACGCTCATCCCTCACCTCTTTCAAATTCATGTGTAATTGTAGAAAGCTGAGATCAAGAGCCTGATGACCTTAGAAATCATCTTATCCAGATTCTCATCTTCATCTTCACAGGTGAGGTCACTCTAGCTCAGAGTACATAAGTGACTTATTTGAAGCCACCTAGCTCAAGTCTTTAATGGAAAATTTCCTGTGGTTTTAACTAAACACCTGGTTTCTTGCACAAGGATAGTCATGGGTGATTCTGGCTCTTAGAAAATATTACTCTCACCAAGAAGTCTGTATTAACTTCAGAAGGGGACTAAATATGAATAAGTATAAGAGAGGAACAAATCTGGTCAGGAAGGAACAAAACAGGCATAAAGCCTTCTCTGATTGATAGAGGCACATCAAGGGTCAGAGACAGAACTCGCCTAAAAGGGAGCTGATGTTGAACTTGAAGAGTCATGAAATGTCCAAAATTGAAAGGACTTTCAGTTTTATCCAGCCCCCTTACTTTTTAGGTCCCAAGAAAGACATGCAGGAAACCAAAGGGCTGGGACTAGCACCCAACATTTTCAAAGACTAACTAATGTTCTTTTCACTGCTTGACATGGATGGAGCCTGTGGAACCTAACTGCCCCTGGCACCACATGGGTGGTCTTGGATCCAGGAGATCACCTAACTACTACAGTAACAGAGAGAAGGGTGGGAGTTCAGAACCACTCCCCTCCAAGGAGTGACCCATGATCTAGGGATGGGGATCCAACGGCCCTAGGGTCTGGCTCTTTTCCTCACCTCTGGCCTGGCTTCTGCAGGTCCTGCATGACCACATTGCCTACCGCTACGAGGTTCTGGAGATGATTGGAAAAGGGTCCTTTGGACAGGTGGCCAAGTGCTTGGATCACAAAAACAATGAGTTGGTGGCCCTGAAAATCATCAGGAACAAAAAGAGGTATGGCTCCATGGATGACATAGGCCACAGAAGATGGATTGCCTGGCTTCTAGCTATTTCAGGACTCCAAACCTTTCTGCCTCTGCCTCTTCCTCTTATATTTCTCTTTATTCTCCCTTTCCTATTTCTCTCTCTTCATGTCTGAGTCCATGAAGGGGCAAAGCAGAAGTAAGAGTGTGGAGTAATTAGTGCTTTCTGTGTTGTTAGACATTTCTGTTGGGGTTGTGGTAGGGTCTGAGAAAAGGGCTAACTGCTGCACTATGACATGATTCCTGTGTTTTCTGTCCTCATTCCCCACCCTCCCTGCCACTCCCCAATCACCTCAGATTTCACCACCAGGCCCTGGTGGAGCTTAGGATCCTGGAAGCCCTCAGAAGGAAGGATAAAGACAACAAGTACAATGTGGTACACATGAAGGACTTTTTCTACTTCCTGAATCACTTCTGCATCACCTTTGAACTTTTGGGGTCAGTCTTTTTTATTCATTTTCTTTTGAAAAGTTGCTTAAGGGAACTTGAAGAAAAACTTTAGTCATAAAACTAGATTTTTCTGGGCATGAATATCTAGTGACTAGTATAGATATAGCAGTCGCACACTTATCTAGAAGGTCCAGGAGTGAGGAGAACAGGACCCAAAACGAGATCTCACCTCATTCCTCAGTAAACCTGTTATCTGCCAGCATACTCATGTTGTGCTTCCCTGGTGCTGAGGACTAAGTACTGAGTAGGTGGAAAGTCCAAAACAAGGCCTCTGCCCTCAAGAGCTAAATTGAAACATGTTTAAAAGGACTTTCTTTGCTATCATGTTCCCCACACACTGGCTTCCCATCTCTACGGTATAGAGGCTGAAACCTAAAAGAACAGGAAACTGGATGATCAGAGTGGGAAAAGGACTTTAATTCTGAGTAAAGAAGGAGAAGGGCAGATATTTTGGGTAAGAGAGCAGAGTCTTGATTTAAATAGATTGAAATCATTTGGGTGAATATTGGAACTAAAAAAGCATTCTAAATGGGAAAATGCATGCTAATTTGATTATTCTTCTCTCTGAGAAGTCAATATGCTGCAATTTAAACAAGCCCAGAAGACATTTAGCAAAGGAGAAAAATCAGGGTGAACCCTTAGAAGACATGTTTCTGGATTCCCTGAGTTAGTTCTTGGTGCTCCCACGACACCATCACTGATGGTGAGGTTCTAGGAACAGGTTATATTTGAGAGGGAGCATGGGCACTCCCCTCACCATCTCTGCTAATTACAAAATGTGTTCTATCCTACCATATGCAACAGTGGATCATCTTCTGTGGAGCAAAACAGACAGTCCAGGCTGCCTTTCTTGCCCATTAATCACAATGCCCAGTTAGGACATCATTGTACTTTAAAAGGGCTCTGTGAAGTCAAGAGAGGCCAGTGTGTAGAAGGAGAATCCTAAGCCCAGTAAGGTGGAGGTGCCCAGGTCAGGATGGCATTTCTCTGTTGTACCTCTCAAGAATGAATGGCTTGCCAGGCACAATGGTGCACACCTGTAATCCCAGCACTCAAGAGACTGAGAAAGGAGGATTGCAAGTTCAAAGCCAGCCTCAGCCATTAGCAAGGCCCTAAGCAACTTATTGAGACCCTATCTCTAAATTAAATATAAAAATTGTTGGGGATGTGGCTCAGTGGTTAAGTGTCCCTGGGTTCAATTCCTGGTACAAAAAATATGGCTTTCTAAATACCACCAAGGCTAGATAATCTTAGAAATGGAAGATCAAGAAAAGCCTGCAGAGTCATTTCTAGGTACTTCTCTTTCCTTCCTATCTTTGTCTCACAGTTTGCACAGAGGTCACAAACTGGCAATTTACAAACAAGTTTTTTTTTTTAAATGCTTGGCATTAGTTTCCAAGACTTGTAAGTTAGCAGATTTCATATAATTGAATATGCTTTTATATAATATTTCAGGATTCTGCCTCTCTAGAGAACTGAGGATTATCTGGCAAGAGCCAGCCTTCATTATAGCAAAGCCACAGTTAGATGGAACCAAGCAGCCACACTTGTCTTTAATAGAGTAGGAGTCCCTCATTTACCTTAGCTCTTGTCAGCACACTCTCTTTCTCCTTTACCTACAATATTTAGATAATCTTGTTAGGTCAGGGTAGGAATGACTTGGTTGAGTGACTAGTGGGCTTCCAGGGCCCTTCCAAGGGCCTGAGAACTATGACTATTATAGAAATTTGATCCAATCTCTGAACCCACACATGTAAATGAAGTACTTAAGTGGCTTTGTCATGTAAGAAATCAGGGTACATTGGAGAATCCAGCATGGTTGAGTGCCAATCTGGGTCTACACTGAGTCACTGAGAAGGCTCAGTTTATCAGAAAGAAAAACCTTGCCTACTGATTTGAGATTTACTTGCTTCTAGAAGGGAATCCAGATAACACAGGATTACTTGTAGGTTCAAACTTGGATACTTTTTATACTCATCACTTTTTCTGTCTTTCCCAGAATCAACTTGTAGGAGTTGATGAAGAGTAATAGCTTTCAAGGTTTCAATCTATCAGTAGTTCAGCGCTTCATCCTCTCTGTCTTGAAGTGCTTGCAAATGCTCTACGTAGAGAAAATCATCCACTGTGACCTCAAGCCTGTGAGTATAACCTCTGTCCTGCCAGGAGAGCAGGTTCTCTTTAGTGGCAGTTAGGGCAGCCAGCATGGCCAGGGCTTCCAGAGTGGCAGCCCTAAATTTCCTGCTTATAGGCTAAGTGAGATGCAGCGAAGCCTGAGGCACACATATTGGAAGGACTAAGAGAAGTGTAGTGTACTTGAGGCAGCTAAGAAACAGAGGGGTTTCCTGCAGAAGTGGTAGGGGTGGGTGGTGGCTTTCTTGAGCATCAAGATGTTCCACAAGTAGTTGTGGGGGTCTGGGTTTACCCACTTTTGCCCTTTCAATCATTAGTCGCTTATAGTTTTTAAGAATTCTTGCTGGATTCTAGAGTTTTCCCTTATCTGTTCTGCAGAGGCTTGTGCCATTCATGTAGATGGATCATTCTACTACTCTGCTCTGCTAAGTCCTTACTAGATGCACTGTACTCTGAGTTGCTCCTCAGGTATGGCACACCTCAGACCACTTCCTCTCCTTCAGTGGCTATGCCCTTCTTACTTGTCATGCTAGTATTGTATTCTTCGCTCAATCTGTGTTTCCCACTGGACTGCAAGCTCTCCCAAGGTCAGACTGTTATGTCCCCAGGACCTAACATGGTGCCTGTGAGAATAATGGAAGGCAATAAATAAATGCTTGTTAAATGAGCCAATGATTGCCAATATGAAGAAATAATACTATAGAGGTAGCTAAGGACAACATGTGAGGAACGCTCGTTCCAAAAGTAATCTGACCTTCACAAGGTGAATATCCCTTAAGTTCCTTACTCCCTTCTCTGCACCCCCAAACATGATTTAATTTTTTAAAACTGTTACTCATAAATAAAATTGAGGATATTTTTTGTAACTTAATATTGTAAAGATATGGGAGGACATTGCTTTGTTCTCCATTTCCAAATTCCTAACCTTTAGCTTTGCGGTTTCAAAAATTCACAGTGCCCATGGTTCTTGGGCTTAGGGAAGTGACTTTCACCAAGGAAGTCTGTAAGACACTTAATGGCTAAAATGTAAAGTAACAGATTTCCTTGACAAAGTATATCAAGTAGGCCAAATATGTGCATCCCTTTGGAAAACATACATACAACCAGCAGGGTATTTTGTGAGTAAAGAATCAGGGAATTATTCTTATGGACTTCATGGTTAGTATGGATGAGCTATGATAGCTCATTGCATTTGTCCCTTCCCTGGAATTCTTTCTACCAAAAAGATGGGAGATGAGAGGGTATGGTAGTCAGCTTTTGGTCTCTGTAATAAAATACCTGAGATAAACTACTTACAAAGAGGAAAGATTTGTTTTGGATCACAGTTTTCAGAGGTTTCACTCCATGGTTGAATGGCTTCAACCATGTGACGAGGCAGAACATGGCATTAGGAGTTCATGACAGAGCAAAGCTGTTACCTCATGCGGCTGGGAACCAAAGAAAGAGACAAGGCCCCAATATCCCCTTCAAAGGCACAACCTCAGTGACCTAACTTCCTCCAATTAGTCCCAGCTCCTAAAGGACCTACCACCTCTCCACAGTGCCATGGGCTGATGACTAAGCCTTCCACACAGCAAACTTTGGGCTTTTATCATAACAAAGGGCCAGCCCCATCTAGTGAAGGGGTCTTCTTTCCACTGGGCTAGAGACTCACTAGAAATTCTTTTAAGATTTCTGCTAAGTATCCTCCTTGCATTAACACAAACATTCTTTATAAACGATAGTTTTGGCACCAGAGGCTTCAGAAGAGGCCTGCTATGTCATATGTGCCATGTTATGTACTCAGCAAGCAATCACATGATCCATTCATTTGACGTGAGATCCTTGAGGCACAAGTAGGACTTTAACCTTCCAACCTCAGCCAGTGCTGAAAGGAGAGCCCAGAAGCTCGACCTTGTCATTTCATGGGTTCCCCAAAGTCAGTGTGAGACACACAAACCCCAATCTAACTTATTTAGTTACTTATTTATTTATTTGTTTGTTTGTTTATTTATGTTCTTTATTGTCATAGTGGTAGGTCTACAGGGGCATTAAACCAATTCAGTGATATGTGTAAGGCAAGTGAGGCACAGAACTGGGTGTGGAAGAAGATATTAATAAACCCACCATCTTCAGGAGTTACATAATCAATATGGGGAAAGATACATGCAAAACAGTGAATAATGAATCTAAAGAAGGTGTAGACTACAAATCAATGGGGAATAAGAGCAAGAGAGTACAATGGAATGTGGAGAAGATGCCAGAGGAGGAGTTTGAAGGTGGTCAGATTTGAACTAGGCCCTGTAGGGGTGAGCATTTAAGTAAGTGGAGCACCTTGGTCAACATTAATTTTTATAAACTTGACCTGTCTTTTTTTCTCTTTGTGCTAGGAAAATACAGTGCTATACCAAAAGGGCCAAATTGCAGTTAAAGTTATTGACTTTGGGTCCAGTTGTTATGAGCACCAGAAAGGTAGGTTCCCCACTCTCTGAGTTCTCCCATTGCAATTTCTCTTCTTTTACACACAAGACTACCTGGGTTCCAATCTAGGATCAGCCATCCAGGGTTACTAATATGATTTTGAACAAGGTGTTTCACTTCTCTGAGCCTAAGTTTCCTCATCTATAAAATGATAAATTAGATTCAAATACCATAGAGGTTCTTTAAAGATCTTATATTCTGTGGACATGAAGTTACCAATAAACATTGGGTCACAAAACTAACTACTTGTGTATCAGAAACACCTTGGGGCTTTGAAAAATTATAGTTTCCAGGAACCTCACCCTACTAAATTTCTGGAGAGTGCACAGGAGTTTGCACTTTAGAAAACAGCCATTCTAATGTTTGGGATTTACTGTCCTAGATTCTCTAGGCTTTGTGCTTTTTTTCCAAACTAGAATGCAGGAAGTAGCCCTGGAGCACATTTGCATCAACCTTTATTGGATTTGATTTAAGTTCAATTAACTTGGCTTCTGTCAAGACTGGTGTAGAAAACATGTACCACTCAACAAATGTCTATTTTCTGGTATTCATCATTTGCTGGTTTGGGTACCAAAACCAAAACATGAAATATTACCTGTCCGGGGTTGCTTATGTATAATATAAGAGACAGGAAGATTTAAAAAAGGTAAAATAAAATAGGTAGAATGATTGGGAAGATACACAGGCTCTATTAAGGGCACACACACACGAAAAGACTTTGGGACCAGCCTTCCTGGTGTCAGAATGTGTCAGAGGGAGCCCTTTGAGGCTGCAGAAAGGACTATCAGATAGGTATTCCCAAATAGTCTGCAGAACCACTTTGGAGGACCTATCTCCTTAATATATTTTTTCCATATGGATCCTATAAGAATTCCATCCAGAAAATAATGCTCCCCATAAAGAACTTGTATGTTTACTCTTTTTAGATATTGGCAACTGTATTAACCTATTAGTTGCTATTCATCTTGGCTTCCAGGATGCTCAGAACTGAGTTTGCAATTACTGTATACTTGCTTTCTGACAGTAACGTCCTCCTTTATATTTCTCCTGACTTTCCTTTTATCTTTGACTATGAGGCAGTATGGAGTATGGATACTGGAATTGGACTTCCTGGTTTCAATTCCCTGCTCTGTTCACTGGAAGCTGAATGACCTTGACAATTCATTTAACCTCAGTTTTCTTATCTTTAAAATTGAGACAAAATAGTATCTGCTTCATAGGGCTTTTGTAAGGATTGAAATAATTCATCTACATAAAGCACTTGGGATAGTGCCTGGCACATGCTAAGCACCACACAGGTGCCATTAAATTTATGATTTAAAGTACTCTATATATATGAATTTGGCATAGTACTCAAATTCATTTTGGAAAAGGCATGGTATAAAAGTTGTTTTTAATCAAACATTTATTTTAAGTTACAGAATTATTACATTCTTATAACCAATCTAAACATTAAAGAAGTGGTTATAGCCCCACTCAATCCAGGAAATCACAACATAGGAAAAATCAAAATGTTCCATTTCCCTGGTTTTAGATTCCTTATCTATAAAATTTAGGCCCCCTACAATATAATCTTCTTTCTATCTTTATTTGCTGAGATTTTTGTTGAGCTTTTCTTTTAGTACTTCATTATAATATATATATATATATATATATACATATATATATATATATATAATATATATTGAATAGACATTGAATTTAAATTTTGCATTTTGTACACTTCCAATTCTGATATGCTTCCCCCAGTGCCAAATCACAATACTGTCAGAAATTATCTTTCCAAAGCTCACCTGACAGTTTGAAAACTTAGTTTATATTAGTTTTATGGTTTGCTTCTTTAAAAACTTGTCTGACATAAAGTATTTTAAAGTACCCTGCTTTAACTTGCTCAGAACAATGCCTACTTTAGAGTTCCTTATCAATCATCAGGTTGTTGTGAGGATTTGATGATGTTTTGTTTTTGATGTTACTTTCATCTTGCAGAGCTCAATAGGGTAAGAAGGTGGGGATAGGGGGATTCTAAATTATCTGCCATCTTTAATTGCCAAACTATCCTGGAGAGGGGGCCCTGGAGAGAAAGCCAGCTTGCCCACATCAGATTTCTCTTTTTGCCCTAACAGTATACACCTATATCCAGAGCCGGTTCTACCAATCCCCTGAGGTGATTCTGGGTCACCCCTACAATATGGCCATTGATATGTGGAGCCTGGGCTGCATCTTGGCAGAGCTGTACATGGGTTACCCTCTGATCCCGGGGGAGAATGAGGTGGAGCAGCTGGCCTGCATCATGGAGGTGAGGAGGAAGGCCTGCTTGGTTTATGTCCTTGGATGGCTTCAGTCCTGACATGGGGCTACATCAGACTCATCAAGGGCAGTGGCCTGCATACTATTTTTTTTCCTTTGGTCAAAGTTTCCCTAAAAGTGTTTTTGAAGTTACATACTTCTTGTACATTTTTGAGAACTAACATTTTTATTATAAATTTACATAGCTTCAAAGGATGCCATTTCCCCCTTCATGTAAACTGTGACAGTTAAAAATAAAACTGTTAAAGCAATCTTTCAAATATAGCCAAAAGAATTTAAAAAAAAAAAAGAGTGACCTAATACCCACCAAAATCTACCTTTAAAAGGACAGGAATAAGTTCTTTAACAGTTGTACCTTTCTTTAACTCTTTTTCCTCCTTGAATGAACTTTTTAAATTCTACCTCATAAATAGAATTTTATTCTAATTTAATATAGCTTTATTTTTAAATATATAAATCACTATAACTTCAAATTTTTATTATCATAAGCTCCATGTGTAGATTTTTTTCTCAAGAGATCACTAAAATAGAACTAGTGCATAAATTAAGATAATTAGTAGGCATAAAATGTGAAATTTTACTTCACATTGTATACACCTCTTAGAAGAATAAATGGAGCTGAGTTTTCTCTTTTTCCCCTTAATTTTATACCTGTAAGTGAACACTACTTCTTTAAAAAAATTTTTTTTAGTTGTTGATTGACCTATATTTTATTTATTTATATGTGGTGCTGAGAAATGAACCCAGTGCCTCACACATGCTAGGCAAGTGCTCTACCACTGAGCCACAAACCCAGCCTCAACATTACTTCTTGCTACAATGAACAGGCTCAGGACCAGGCCATTACAATACATTGATTCCAAAGATGTGAACCAAAGAAGGAAACCTGTTCTAGTTATGTTGCCTCATTCTGTGACTTTTTTTGAATTCTGTGTAACAATTGAATAATGATCTATCATCAGAAATTATTTTTATCAACCTATCAGCTGAAACAAATAATTGGAAATTATCTGACAAAAAATAGGTAGCGTTCAGGAATGACTTTTGCTCTTTTAACCTGGGAGGACTATTTCCCAGTAAAAAGGCTTTACCCAGACTCATCACAGGATTATTAATCACATCTCATTTTTTTCAATGAAGTTTTCATGTAGAGCTAAATTAGACAAAATGGAGAAAATAACTAAAAATTTGAAAAATTCAAATTTTAGGATTTTTCTAGTAAACTGATAAAAGTTTGACCATGAATCTCTCTAAATCAAAAGCTAAACTTCTGTTTTCTAGATTGTCTCAAAGTTAATCAGTGACACATGCCTTTGAGAAGTATTAAATATAAATGATTTCATTTGTTGTTTGAAACTAATAATAAAATATTAAAATAATTTAGATGAAAATATCTAGAAATGGTAACTATGGTGGAATCAACAATGGCCTGGGAGTTAGTAAATTTGGGGTCTAGCCCTTGTTCTGACTTTTTGGCAAGTCATTTCCCACTCTGGACTGGAAAATGAGGGGGTCAGACCAGATGACTTCTAAGGTTGGTAATGATTTTATGAAATATCCCTGAACCATTTCTGCTTCTAATACCAAGGTGAATGGGGCATCTGGCTTGAGCTTCCCACTGCCCCAGGACTGACTCAGTTTCCCCTTGACATCTGTAGGGTTGAGGAGCAGGAAGGCAAGATTGTGCATGGATTATGGCCAGAAACCTAGGGCTGAGAGCAACCCATAAATTTCTTTTTCTGTACACTCCTATTAGGTTCAGTAGAGAAAAGTGAATAAGTAGGCCTATACTTTTCTTTTCAAGAAGGAATTTATCTTACAAGAAATGCCTTCTCTGGTGATTTGTATCTCCTTTCCCTCCCTTCTCTTCCCGGTGTTCCATGCTGGGGTGTGTCATTCCTAATTCAACGTGATCAGCATGTACCGACATTGAGATCTGGCTGCTATCAAGGTGGCTTGTCTTTGTTGGTGCTGATGTATGTTTAGAATAGCATGTGAATCTTAAGATACTGAGACAGCCCTGGAGACATGAGCTCTAGGTCCACCATGCTACTGACTTGATGTCATCACTTAATATCCTCAAGTTCTTACCTGTAAAAGGCAAAATGTGGCCAAAGTCCCACCTAGCTCTTAACAGTCTTTGAATCTGTGACTTCACCAAGAGTGAACCAACTACACTGTGCTTGTTGAAGGCGCTGGGTCTGCCGCCAGCCCACTTCATTCAGACGGCCTCCAGGAGACAAACGTTCTTTGGTAAGTCCCCAAGTCTAATCTCTTTATCTCATTGTGTCTAAAGAGGTGTCACAGGTCTTGAAGGTACTTCCCATACCCTAAATCTCATATTTTGCTTTTCTCCTGTCCCCATACCAAAGGGCAGGATGTGGTTTAGGGGCTTACAGGCAATGAAAAGTGGTCCCAGATGGCATGCTGGAGATGAGATGGGTGAAATCACAAGGGGAATGGGTTCTTGGCAGGTTCCCACTCAGAAGACCAGTGAGAGAAGAGGGCTGTGGCTGCCTCATCCCTGCAGTTGGCCCTTGCTCTGGAACACCCGACACAAGGCTGTTGAAGGCCCTGGTTCCTTGAACTGTTTTTTGTTACTGTTTGCAGTCAGTCACTTGCAAGCCATCATTTCACTTCCAACTGACTTATAAAACTTTTTTTATAAAGTATATTTAATTTACATTTGATGACTTAAAGATGATCAGTTAGTAAAGCTGTGCATAGCCAAACTGCCCTTTCTTATTCTACCTCTGTTAGCTATTACTTTTTGTTAAATGTTAGTCATTGATTTAGACATTAAAAAAGCAAAGCAGTATTAAATTATCTTCAGTTTAATATTTTTATAAAGATATATGTAATTGCTATATTACTGTGATATTGGTTCCTAGGTATTGGGGTGGTCAACTGAGGGGAGCCTTTACAACCAGGATATAAACAAAAAATGTATCACGAGTTGGCTATTTTACAAGTGTTTTTGTTTTTGTTTTATTTTGTATGAGAAATTGAACCCATAGGTGCTTAACCTTTGAGCCACATCCCCAGCCCTTTTTATATTTTATTTTGAGACAAGATCTTGCTAAGTTGCTAAGGGCCTCGCTAAGTGGCTTAGGGTCTTGCTAAGTTGCTGATACTGGCTTTGAACTAATGATCACCCTGCCTCAACTGTCCAAGTTGCTGATTTTAAAGGCATGCACCCTGTGCCTGGCCTTATGAGTGTTTTTCCACTCAAACCGTCTAGTGAAAGTCCCTATATTACTAACCTTTGAAATCTTCTGTTTGCAAATGAATTAATTGTAAAGGAATTAGAATTAAGCTGTATTCATGAGTAAATATCAGAAAGTTTTATATTTCCATGTACAATAAAGCATATTTATTCTGAAAATGTATACTAATGAGTATATACTAATTTCCCATGATTTGTCTCTCTGGTATGGCAAACTGAGTATTGTCTGTTGAATTTGAATCCCTCAACAGGACATAATGGGGAAATTAAGCTTTATATGATTTCTAAAGAAATTCCACAGAATATAAATCTGGACTAAAAAAAAACTTTTAAATGAAAAACAGTATGATAAACTACAAAACGAATGATGCATATTTGTGGGCCTATAAATGGCTCGTCATAAGACTTCACTTCTTGGCATAAGTCTTAGATTCCTGCAGAGTTGGGTGTTGTATTTTGGAAGTGGATCACACTGCAGTTTTGAAAATGAGTGGTGTTATTCTTGACTCTTTCAGAATATATCCCTCTGACCTTTCAGCTGCCGCCTCTTCTCTGCCTCTGTCATAAGCCAAGCTTTGGTTAAGGAAAATGGATTAATAGTTAAAACTATTTTATCCATCTAGTCTCCACTCCCCAAACACTTGCTTCAAGGATTTATGTAATCTTGGTAAAGCTAATAAAAGCTCTAAAATTTTAATAAAAGTTTTAGGGAAAATGCAACTTTTGGATTCCTACTGTGTAATATTTATAAAGTGGTTTGAAGGCAAATACCCAACACAAGTTAAAAGCAAAAGCCAGTGATTATAATAATACAGTTAGTTCTGTAGCAGTCTTTATTGACAAATAGCTAAAAGAAGTCCCGCATTACATCACAGCTATTTTTCTCCTTTTGCCAAAATCATTAGATGGTGGGAAGCGCCTTTACAAAACTATCAAATTACTGGTGTTTCATTTTTGGTAACTTTAGCAGCAGTTCTTTTATTCTTCATCTCAGCAAGATTATGAGGTTGAGATACTAAGTGAATCTAATGCATTACACCATTTTCTAGGTGAGGGATGACAGAGTTCCTCAAACTTGCCCTGGATGCTTCTGATCCATCTGCAGGGTAGAGGTTAATTTTCACTTTTGTGTCCATTAGGATTCCAAATGAATTCTGGATAATAATGATGAATTAGTACTATTTGTTTTGCCAAGGCATAAATAGTTCTATGTATAGTAATTTCATTTATCATACTTTTATTTGTAAGCTAATAAATAAACATTTTTAGAAATCAAAACAATTCTCCCTGTTGTTCTTTCCCCACCCATAGATGACTGTTTCTTAGTTTCATTGTGTATCCTTCCAGTGTTTCTTGTGCAGATCCAAATATTATTTCCCTCCTTCCTAAAAAGGTGATGCTCTTTTTATTTTATTCTATACCATGATTTTTCTATTTAATTAGTATCTTTACGTAAGTCTCTCTCTTAAAGACACTGCTTGCTACACATTATTCCATTAGGTAGATATATCACTATTTATTTGTTAATGAAACCATTAATAAATGGTTATTTGAGCTATGGTTAGGGAAACCAACTTCCTGTCAATGTACATTTGGAATATTTACAATCTTTTCTATTAGAAATAATTTTAATATGAGTGAATGCAGGTATTCCTAGCATCAGGGCTGTGGTTTAATAAGCCTGCCAGTTAATTCTGATGGGGCTCAAGTTTGAGATCCATTGCTCCAGGCAGCCATTGATCACAATGGTCAGGAGCCTACGCAAAGACTCAGTCTGTATTCCTAGTCATGGCTCAAGAAACATTTGATTAAAGCACAAGAGTTTTAACTGAATTCTCCTTGATTCTACTTTTTACTTACTTGAGGATTGCTTTTATTGGTCTACCCTGTCATGTGGTCTTGCCCAGGTACCCCCCTCTCCTCTTTCCTCTCCAACCTCCATTTCCCCAGTTACCTGGTAACCAATTTTTCTAGTCCTCTCACCATTCTCATTGTTTCAAGGCTGTTTGAATTTGTTTTGTTTTTTAACTCCTAAAATTGTAGTGTCCAAGCCTCAGTTCAGTGTGCTGTGGTTTGCAGGATAGTGTTCAGTACTACAAAATGTTCCTTCTTTCCCATTCCATACCAATGCCCTTTCCCTTGCTCAGTTCAAGGTCAGCAATATAAGGACTGATCTTCATGTTTTGGTTCTGCCTTTGAAAGTAATTTTGAGTAATACATTTATTTTGACAAGACTATTTAACAAAAATAATGTATGCACATATATATTTTAAAAATAGCATTATACTCTTGCAGTTTATTTAAGATTGATTCCTAATCTATACATTTTAATTTGGGATAGTTTGAAATTTTGAGCTCATCAGTAGAGCTATAGAATGAATTGCATTTTTATAGGTTCAATTATGAAGTGTGTTATGATTCAGATGATCTTTATGAATATCATTACCCTTCATAGCTAGTTTTCTTCTTTTCAAAAATGACATAACTTGATATTAAAGTTTTTTCCTCCCTCTTTCTATTTTAGTGGGGAAACAAGATTCAACAAAGTGAAAGTACTTCAAGGTTGGTATAATCTGGTTATTATTATAAATCTCTGCTTTAGTTGTTAAAGTGATATGCAAGGGACGTGGGGCGGCGCCGCGGGCAGGGCCGGGAGGACGGGCGCTGGCAGCAGGGGCAGTGCCGCGGGCCCCTCTGAGTGGCCTCAGTCCGGGCTCCAACACCGCTGTTGTAAGTGGCAGGAGCCATCTGTAGTCACCATGGCAAAGAGGGAGGACAGCCCTGGCCTAGAAGTGCAACCAATGGACAAGCAGTTCCTGGTGTGCAGCATCTGCCTGGATCGGTATCGGTGACCCAAAGTTCTGCCTTGCCTGCATACCTTCTGTGAGAGATGTCTCCAGAACTACATCCCTGCCCAGAGCCTGACACTGTCCTGCCCCGTGTGTCGGCAGACGTCCATCCTCCCCGAGCAGGGTGTCTCAGCACTGCAGAACAACTTCTTCATCAGCAGCTCATGGAGGCCATGCAGCAAGCACCCGATGGGGCCCACGACCCAGAGGACCCCCACCCCCTTAGCGCTGTGGCTGGCCGCCCTCTCTCCTGCCCCAACCATGAAGGCAAGACAATGGAATTTTACTGTGAGGCCTGAGAGACAGCCATGTGCGGAGAGTGCCGCGCAGGAGAGCATCGGGAGCATGGCACAGTGCTGCTGCGGGACATGGTGGAGCAGCACAAGGCAGCCCTGCAGCACCAGCTTGAGGCTGTGCGTGGCAGCTTGACCCAGTTGTCTACAGCTATTGCCTTAGTCGGGGGCATCAGCCAGCAGTTGCAAGAGTGCAAGGCAGAAGCCCTGGCCCAGATCAGTGCAGCCTTCGAGGACCAGGAGCAAGCGCTACAGCAGCGCAAGCAGGCTCTGGTCAGCGACTTGGAGACTATTTGTGGGGCCAAGCAGAAGGTGTTGTAAATCCAGTTAGACACACTGCGCCAGGGTCAGGAGCACATTGGCAGTAGCTGCAGCTTCACGGAGCAGGCACTGCATCTGGGCTCTGCCCCGGAAGTGTTACTGGTGCGCAAGCACATAAGAGAGAGGCTGGCAGCTCTGGCAGCTCAGGTCTTCCCAGAACGGCCACATGAGAATGCACAGCTAGAACTGGTCCTTGAGGTTGATGGGCTGCGAAGATCGGTGCTTAATCTGGGCACATTGCTCACCACCAGTGCCACTACACACCAGACAGTGGCCACAGGCGAGGGCCTGCTCCAGGCACTAGTGGGCCAACCCGCCTTGCTCACTGTCACTACCAAAGACAAAGATGGGTGGCTGGTGTGCACAGGCAGCGCTGAGCTGCCAGCAGGGATCACAGGCTTGGATGGCACGCGCCTTCCTGTGCCAGTGGTGGACCACAAGAATGGCATTTATGAGCTAGTGTACACTGCACGCACCGAAGGCGAGCTGCTCCTCTCAGTGCTGCTCTACGGGCAGCCAGTGCGTGGCAGCCCTTTCCGTGTGCGTGCCCTGCATCCTGGGGACCTGCCACCTTCCCCTGATGAAGCACCGTGTCAAGTCCCCTGGTGGACCAGGCAGCCATGTGCGCCAGAAGGCAGTGCGTAGGCCCAGCTCCGTGTACAGCACAGGTGACAAACGGAAGGAGAACCCAATTGAGGACGAGCTCGTCTTCCGTGTTGGCAGTCGTGGAAGAGAGAAGGGTGAATTCACTAATTTACAAGGTGTGTCTGCAGCTAGCAGTGGTCGCATTGTGGTAGCAGACAGCAACAATCAGTGTCTCCAGACCAAGACTGGAGCCGGCTGCCTCATGGGGCCCAAAGGAGTGGCTGTAGACCGGAATGGACATATCATTGTGGTTGACAACAAATCTTGCTGTGTCTTCACCTTCCAACCGAATGGCAAGCTGATTGGACATTTTGGGGGCTGTGGGGCTACTGACCGCCACTTTGCAGGGCCCCATTTTGTGGCTGTGAACAACAAGAACGAGATTGTAGTAACGGATTTCCATAACCATTCAGTGAAGGTGCTGATGGAGAGTTCCTCTTCAAGTTTGGCTCCCATGGTGAGGGCAACGGGCAGTTCAACACTCCCACAGGAGTAGCTGTGGACTCCAATGGGAACATCATTGTGGCAGACTGGGGCAACAGCCGTATCCAGGTGTTTGACAGCTCTGGCTCCTTCCTGTCCTATATCAACACTTCTGCAGAGCCACTGTATGGCCCACAGGGCTTGGCACTGACCTCGGATGGCCACGTGGTGGTGGCTGATGCTGGCAACCACTGCTTTAAGGCCTATCGCTACCTCCAGTAGCTGCACAGGGGCCCTGCCTGGCTCATGGAGGGACGGGCAAAGGGGTGATTGGACAAGAGGGTCTGGCTGAGAGGTGGGCCAGATCTTGCAGCACTGAATGTGGGCTGTGGGCGTGGGTGCGGCCATACCTTCCCTTTCCTCCCCAAACCCCATGGTTGCACTTTATTTATTCGGTTCTTGCTTTGGTGACTGGGTGGGCCTGGACTGTGGTCCTAAGGATGTGTGCAGAGCTTCACCTTATCCCCTTTACACACCTCCCCTGACCCCTCAGTCTGCTCTCTACCCCACTGCCTGGGGCCAGAACAGCCTCTTACTCCAGGACAGAAGTCCCTCTGGTTGTCTCCCTACCACCCTTTACACACTGACAGAGACAGCAATACCCCACCCCCCATATTAAATAAATGTCTTCACCAAGAAAAAAAAGTGATATGCAAATTAATCAGATTCAGTGGGTAGGGTAGCCTGGGGGCAGCACTGTACTGGGATTGACTTAGATTGAGATTTCAGAAATAAAGTATATAACAGCCACAGAATATGATCAGAGCAACTGGTAACCAAGAGGAATAAATCTCTTGACTGAACTAAATGGACACAACAGCTCTTCAGCTGGGCGTAGTGATTCAGGCCTGTAATCCCAGTGATTTGGGAGGCTGAGGCAGGAGGATCATAAGTTCAAGGGTACCCTCAGCAATTTAGTGAGGCCCTGAGCAACTTAATGAGACCCTGTCTCAAAAAATAAAAAGGACTGGGGACAGCTCAGTGGTAAAGTACCCCTGAATTCAAACCTTAGCATCACCACCACCAACAACAAAAAAACCCAGAAACCACTTCTCCAAATTGCTCTTTACATTCAGATTCTAAGAGGCCTAGTCAGCTGATTAGAAAGTTATATTGGTTCTAGATGCCTTAAAATATAACTGTCTAGATTTAAAATGGTTCCTATTTGGAAATGTGACGTTTTCTGGCTGGTGTTAATGGTATTTTCCAGCTCAGATATTTTAGTTTTAGTAGTAACCAAGAGCTTTACTTCTCATGTGTGTTCATTATTTTATTCTGAACTGATTCCTCCTCTTGAGTTCTGTTAGTATGGACCCCAAGTTTTTAGTTGTCCTGTGATCTAGCTCAGCTTTTTAAAGAATATCCTGAGTGAACTTTCAGGTAGAGCTGCTATTTCTTGCTGTGATTATAAAACCATTTAGTTTTGTTTGAGGGGTAGTGACCTGGGGATAATATAAACTGGTTTTCATTCCCAGGGTGCTTAACTACCTTTTCTGGAGACTAACTAGTCTGACACTTAAATGAACCTGCTTTTGAATGACTTGTACTCGACCCAAGTTATTCTCTGGCTTTGATTGGTTACCACCACCTTGTCCTTTAGTACTGCTCCTTTGTCTTACTTCATTAGAAGCTGATCATGGAATGTGAATAAAGTCTTTTGTGTTCACATTCATTTTTTAGTTTATTCTTTTTTTAAAAAAAATTCTTCTTCCATCTTAGTTGAATGCTTAGTTCTTTAAAAAATATACATAATCTTTTTTAGCTGGTAATAGTTTATTTGCCTTTATTCTGGTTACTGATATGTTTGAACTTCTTTCCTTTGTTGTTCTTTTCCTCCTTCTTTTTGTAGTCTTTCTCTTTATTCTTACTGGCTTTCATATCTTAAGTCCTTGTTTCTCAGGCTTGTCTTACCTTCCCTAGTAGTTCAACCATTTCTTGTCTTTTAATGGTTCCCATTCATACTCGTTTTAGTCAGTTTATGACAATGGACTGGGCAGGTGAAACCATACGTTTATTTCCTCACAGCTGTGGAGGCCAAGTCCAAGATCAAGGTCTTCCCAGTCTGCTTCCTGGTTTGCAGACAGCTGTCTTTTGGTGGTATCCTCCCACGACTAAGAACAGACAGTAAGAGCTCTTGTGCCCAAGCATGCTTTTGTTCTCTCTTTTTTCCTCTGTACTAGGGCATTCTACCACTGAGTTCATTCCCAGCCCTTTTTATTTTGAGACAGCATCTTGCAAGGTTGCTGAGGCAGGTATCCACCTTGTGATCCTCCTGCCTCAGCCTCCTGAATCACTAGATTACAGGTGTATGCCACCAGGCCCAGCTAAGACCTGTCCCTTCTCATGGGTCATTCATCATATTCATGAGGGATTGACCCTAAAATCTAATCATCTCCCACAGGTCCAACTCCCCAAAATACCAATTTTAGGGAGACATGGATATTCACCCTAACAACACCTAATGAAGAATAACATCATTAATGTCCCCTCTCGAAAAATACAGGAACTTATGTTATCATTGTCTGTCATCTTAGTCTTTTTTTTTTTAAACCACTTGATGTGGACATTATTGCCTCCACTCGTCATTCAGGCAGTGTTTGCTAGCTTTGCTGTTCATTGCTTCTTTTGCATCTCAGATCTTCTTTCCAGAATTATGTTTTCTGAAAGGTTCCCCGGTGTATGTGGCTAGGCTGATGGTAAAGGTGATCTTAGTGCATACAGTTTTGGTTGGACGGTTCTTCAACACTTGGAAGATGTTAATCTATTCTTATTTGGGCTTTCATTGTTCCTGTGAGGAAGTTTGGCCCATCAAGTGGTGTTCTACATTTACATCTTTCTCTATAACTGTTCTGAAAATTTTCACTTTGGTTTATCCAGGAGGGGTTTTTTTAAATTATTCTATTTGATATGCATTGTGTTTCTTTTATCTGTACATGGGTGTCTTCTCTCATTTTTGGAAAACTTAGCCATTATCTCTTTTTTTTTTTTTGAGAGAGAGAGAGAGAGAATTTTTAATATTTATTTTTTTGTTTTCGGCAGACACGACATCTTTGTTTGTATGTGGTGCTGAGGATCGAACCCCGGGCCGCACGCATGCCAGGCGAGCGTGCTACCGCTACCACATCCCCAGCCCCAGCCATTATCTCTTTATGTTTATTTTCTCTGTTTTCCATTTTACATGTTTATTTTTTCCATTTTCTACCTCCAAAGATTTCATCTCTGAAAGATGGAATCTTTGGGAGATGATTAGGTCATGAGGGTGCAGCCCTTGTGGGCAGGATTATTAAAAGGGGGCCCTGAAGAGCTCTTATACCTTCTTTTGCCATTTGAGCACATAAGGGGAGAAGTCAGCACTCTGTACCCTGGAAGAAGCCTTCACCAGAACCCAGCCATGCTGACACCTGATCATGAACTTCCAGCCTCCAGCACTGTGAGACATGAATGTTTGTTGTTTATCTAATCTATGGTATTTTTTTACAGTAGCCTGAACTAAACAATGCATGTGGGGAATTCTCATTCTTTCCCGTTCATCACCAGTATATCCACATTCCTTCTCCTTGTATCTGTGCTGCATTCTGGGTAGTATGTGCAGCTCTGTCTTGGAGTTCATTACACCTCCCCTCAACCACACCGCTCAAACCACTGAGGGATTTTTTTTCTCTTTTCTTAGCATTCTGTTTTTCCTTATTAAAGATTTATTTTATCTTTTAGAAAGCCATCTGGTTGTTTTTAATGCTTTCTGTTAATTGCTTATCTTTCTGAATCTGTCTTTATGGTAGGGAACAGACAGATGTGAGCAGTGGAAACATGAGGTTAAGGGAATAATTCTATAAAATGAGTCTCCTGTGCTGACTCTCATGTGGTTTCTTTTTTAAAAAAGCAATGTACCTGCAGCCCTGCCTGGCATAACAACCTGTTATCTGCAGGAGAAATGCAGGCCTAAAATGCCAATAAAAACATTAGTTACCCTATAAGGGGGGAATTTTGTGACCCTTCCACAGACGGATCCCAGAACTCTGAAAGGTAAGGATAATTCCCGTAACCATAACATCTCTAAGAACAGGACAAACCAAACTAGAGTTCCCATGTGCAGAGAAAACTTGAAAGTCTGCTGTCATCCTGCTGTCTGTCAGTCAAAAGTCAAGAGGTGGACCTGGGTGGGTCTTTCTGGAAACTTCTCTGGGACCCCCAATATAATCAGAGGGTAGGAGAGGCATGCCATCCTTCTCCTGAGAGGACCCTCTCTCCCCTTTTCCTATCCCTTCTAATAATTTCATGCCTGTTACTTTGAGCAACACATCTGAAATCTTTCTGGTGTGATCAGGAATATTCTGCCTATAACATTTATGTCTTATTCATAATTAATTTCATAGCTTTTCTTTGCTGATTTCAGTGTGTGAATTCTCAATGATTCTAAATCTGTTCTTTTTTTCTGCTGACTCTCATTCATTATGGATTATTTTCTTGTGTATGTGTTGAATCTTTGGCTGACCTATTATTTGCTCTAAAATTAGTGGAGAGCTTGTTATCCTCTGTTGTGAGTGGTTTGTTCTGAGCAGGATTTGTATTTGGCCACTGGCCTCAGATGACAGTAGCCTCCTTCCAGGACCCCTTGCTTCAGTGCAGTTTGGTCCCCCCACTTTGCTGTCTCATGAGCAGGCCTCCTCCAGAAACCCTTCCAACCTGAGCTGATGTTACAGCAACTCCAAATTTCCATATCACTTTTCACATTTCAGCCCAGGGGTCTTTGATGGCTTTGCTTCTTCCCTTGGGGATTTCCTTGCATTCTATGAGCCCAGTCACACCAAGCATACATCACTTATTCTGTAATAATAAGTCCCTTCTCAGTGTCTAATCTGCTTCTTCCTCCTGGAAGGAAGTGTAGGTTTCATAGTGTTTCTTTCTTTTTTTTTATTTAAACGAAAAAGAAAGGGAAGGGGGCAGGGAAGAAAGAAGTACCATCATTATAATATTGAATATTTGGACAATGGAGTTATAGAAGGCAAAACTCTTATGGTAATGATAGCAGCACATGTAGGGTCAGAGTCACCATTTATAAAATGCAACCAATGAGGACATGGGCAAACACAAAAGAGGGAAGAGCTAAAACCGAGATGTTGTTAGCATCACCTTATTCCCAGCAGGCAAAAAACATTTGAATCTAAGCCTTGATAGAATCAGCTTAACTTCACAGTAGGTGCTGTCGGCTCCTTGGCTCTCTGAAAAGTCATGTAGAAAAGTGCTCGAGGAAACTTTTCATTAAAATAGAGATAGACACAGTTTCTGTTCTCTTATATGTGGCTTTATCTGTACCCCTCAGTTATGATTTTGAATGCTTTGTTTCACCACAGGACAAGGAATAGATGAACCTCTTTCAGAGACTGGATTTAAACAAGCGGCTGCTGCTAGTAGATTTATGAGTAAAGTGAGGTTTACTCGTGCTTTCTCCAGCCACCTCACACGGGCAAAGCAGGTGAGTGTAGGGTGAGGGTTTAGGCTAAGAGGTCCCAAGTCTCAAGTGTATAAGCTTGAAAGATCTGCCACCAGAGCCCACAGGGAATTAAATCACATAGACAGCACCTCCTTCCCACTCTTTCATCGCCATGTGAACTTTTTCCTTTTCTTCTCATTGAACTTAGTTTTTTTTTGTTTGTTTTGGGGTTTTTTGTTTTTGTTTTTGTTTTATTTTTAAGTTAGAGTAGCTTTGGAAAAAAATGCTTAACAAAACAAAAAAAAAATAAGGTATCAGGAAAAATCCAGGAGAAATGACAGGCAGGAGATCAACCCACAGTCACGTCAGATAATAGAAAAGCCAGACAGAGTAAAAAAACATTCTGATTCCATAAAGAAATATGTGACATGATGTAAATGTCTTTAGAGAACAGATCTCTATAAAAATGACACCCAGATTTTATTAAAAAGAACCAAATCAACTTGTTAAAACTCAATGGAAGGAGACTTTTGTGACTAACCATGAGGGAATAATAGGATCGGAATTTACCTCCCTGTGTAAATAACTAGAAAACTCAACAATGAGTGCAAAATCTCAGCGGGGGCTGGGGTTGTGGCTCAGTGGAAGACTAGCACATGTGTGGCACTGAGTTTGATCCTCAGTACTGCATATAAATAAATAAATAGAGGTATTGTGTCCATCTACAACTAAAAAAGTATATGTTATTATATATATATATATATATATATATAATATACATATATTACACTTATTTATAATTTTCTTCCAATCTGTGGTTTGCCTTTTCATTTTACAAATGGTACTTGCAAAGAATAGACAACTTTTACTCGAATAAAATCCAGTAAGTGAGACCTTGGACTCCGGGCATCATGGCTCTGTGATGCCTAGATGAGGTGGAACAAATAAGCTGAGCCCCAGGATTGTCCAAAGCCATTTCCAGACTCTGGTAGGGGTCACAAAATAGAGCTCGGTGGTCCCTGTGATTTGATGAGGGAAAGCGTGGAATTTGGGGATATTAGGTGACTAAAATTTGAGGTTCAGAGAAGTAGAAGAGCTAGACAGAGAAAGAACTCTAGAAGTATACATAGCAGTCTGCTTAAATATGTCAAAGTACTTTCTTCTGTCATGGATAACTGAAATGAACAAATTTTTTAAAAATTCAACCAAAAAGAAACTCTTAGGGAGACTGTTATCTGCATATGGGTGGAATGACACCCCCTGAGAACAAGCAAGACACAGCTGCAGAGGAGAGACTGGTTCCTGGGGAGGGAAAAGTGGAGCGATTCCTAGAGCTCACAGAGGGTGGGGAAGCACGTGAGTCCCCACCAGTCAGCGTGCAGCGATTTTGTGGAATAAACAGGGCACGAAGTAGTGATTCCAGAATGATCACTTCCTAGCAGTGAATAAGGAAGAAAAATGAGAGAAATAGATGATTAAAAATAAAAAATCTTAAAAAGGAACCAGGTTGAGCTCCATATGTGTAATATGAATTGTAAGGTGTTCTGCTGTCGCATATAGCAAATTAGAATTTAAAAAAAGAACCAGATTGATCTAGAGATGAAAAATATGATGTCCTGAAATAAAAATGTCACAAGATGGGACTAACTGGGTGGGCACTGTAGAAGAGGTCATTGAACATGAAGACGTAGCAACAGAACATTCTGAATTTACTATGGAGCAGAAAGAAAGAAAGACTAAAATAGGAAGATAAACAGTCTCAGCGAAGTATGGAACAGTGTCAGACAATCCAACACACATGTTGGTTGGGAGTCCTGAGAGGAAAATGGGGAAGAGGAGGCAAGAGTAGGAATTCTACAGGAATTTTTCGAAATATATTCTGAAGGTGTAAAGATTGAAAATACTTTGAAAACTAAAAAGAAGACTTTTTTTTTTTCAAGCAAAATTGGAGAGGCCAAAAACAGAGCCACACTTATATAGCAAATTATTGGTTTTGTGTTTGTGGTCAGTAGGATTTTGACAAAGGTCCTAGAGTAATTTATTAAATAAAGATAGTCTTTTTAATAATGGTGCTGACACAACGAACATGAACGTCAACCCTTACCTTGCACCACACACAAAAACTAGTTTGAAATTGATTATATAAACTGGATTTTATTCGAGTAAAAGTTGTCTGTTCTTTGTAAAATGAAAAGGCAAATCACAGATTGGAAGGAAAGTATAAATAAGTGTATTATATGTAAATAATGTATACATCATATGTACATATATGTGTGTGTATATATGTACATATATATATGACACTGTGTGCGTATGAATTCTTTCTCCTCAATAATTAGACAAACTTTAAAAGGGGCAAAATGTTTTAATTAGAACAGGAACTTCATAAAAGAAGATACATGCAAGGACAATAAAAATTATACAAATGAAAAGATGCTCGGCATCCTCGATTGTCACATAAATGCAAATTACAACCACAGTTGAGATACCACTGTACATAACATTTGAATGACTAAAACGTGAAGAGATTGTAGAGTATCTAAAAGTCACACACTGCAGGTGAGAATGTAAAAGAAACCATCTACTTTGGAAAATAGTTTATCATATACATATTGTTACCCAGCAGTTTTAGTCCCAGAGACTTATCCAAGAGAAATAAGAACGTATGTCTGCATAAAGAATTGTGCACCATTGTTCAGTAGGACTTTTGTTTGTAACAGCCATATAACAGACTCTGTGTTTATCAGGAGGTAAATGAACAAATGAACTGTGGTGTGTTCATATAGTGGAATACAACTCAGCACTGAAGATGGAACACTAGATAGGCATCAACATGGATGAGTCTCTCAAAAACATGCTAAACAAAGGAAACCAGGCACTAAAGAGAACATAATACATGATTCTGTTTATATGAAACTCTGGTAAAAGACTGATGTAGAGTTACATAAAGCAATTCAGTGATTGCTTGGGCCGGGGTGAGAAGGATTTACTGGCATGGGTATGAAGATATATTTTGGGGTGATAAAATTCTTCTGTATTTTAATTTTTAGCACTTAGGTGGGTGTATACATTTGTCAAAATTCAAATGAACTGTAGACTTAAAATAGGTGTATTTTACTGTTGTAAATTATGTATCAATAAAGTCAATTTAATGCATGGAATAAGTTAGCCAAAACCTCAGTGAACTTATCGAGTTACCGATTACACACAGCTGACATGATTGTTAAGACAGTAAACCTAAGGGTGACATACATGACTGATTTAAGACGTGAGGAACATGATGGGAAGTTGTAATGTCTTTCAAGAGGAGATGTCAGAGAGTTGAGGATGAGGCAATATTCAAAGAGGTCATAGCTGGTCTTACAGAATCATTAAGACAGTGGATCTCAGATCCAGAAAGTGTAAGCAGTCCCAATTGGTAAATACAAAAGAAATCCACCTCTGTATTCATCGTAGCCAAGCTAAGATTCCAAAGAAAAGGAAGACAAACATCATTCACTAGTCAAGCAGTTAGGCTGTCTAGGTCTGTCAATGTCAGTAACATCCTCTTCAGTATGCTGAGAGAGGGCAAGAATTAACCTAGGGTTTTAAACCTTTTTCTAGAAAACAGGTGAAGACCGTTCAGACAAACAGACCCTCAAGGCATTTTCAAAAAAATACTGAAAATAATTCTAGAAGGAAGGTCCGAGTTTCAGAAAAAGATCAGTGAGCAAAGAAATTGGCAAAGGTTCATAGCATAGATAAATACAAAGAAATACAACACGTATATGACAGTAACTATAATGTCTAACTTACGGGGAGGGGTGAAAATGCCAGGTAGAAGTGGATTTAAACAATTTCTGTAGTTTTGCAAATACAGTGTTTTATGTCCACTAAAAGTAGCCAGATAAACTGAAAGAAGGAAACATGGACACAAATGAGCAAAATAAAAGACAAAACAGCCGAAGTCTCCCCGCTGCCGCGGCTCCTGGGCCTTGAGCTTCTCTTGAAGCAGGAGCCTCTTCGCCGCAGCCACCAGCGCTGCGCAGGCCGCGGACAGTACGCGCAGGGGCCGGGGCGCACAGCCTCAGGATCCTCGGAGTAAGAAGCACGGGCGCTCGCAACAGGCGATCTGTGGGTGACCGCGTCTGCGGGAGATTTTACCATCCCTCCTCTGGGTCTTGGGGAGAAAGAACCAGCAGCTCCCCAACCCCTCCCCCTCCACCACCATTTCGGACACCCCGCAGGGACGCGTTTTGGAGTTCCCTCTGACTTCCAGGAAGTACGCGAGCCCCTCTGTGACTCCAGGTCAGGCGGCCACCTATCTTTGCCGTGCTGACCCTTCTTCCATGACCCTGCGGTGCCTCGAGCCCTCGGGGAATGGCGCGGATGGGACGCGGAGCCAGTGGGGGACCGCTGGGTCAGCCGAGGAACCAGCCCCCAGGCAGCACGCCTGGCGAAGGCCCTGCGCGAGCTGGGTCAAACAGGATGGTACTGGGGAAGTATGACTGTTAATGAAGCCAAAGAGAAATTAAAAGAGGCGCCAGAAGGAACTTTCTTGATTAGAGATAGTTCGCATTCAGACTACCTACTAACAATATCTGTTAAAACGTCAGCTGGACCAACTAATCTGCGAATTGAGTACCAAGATGGGAAATTCAGATTGGATTCTATCATATGTGTCAAGTCCAAGCTTAAGCAATTTGACAGTGTGGTTCATCTGATTGACTACTATGTTCAGATGTGCAAGGATAAGCGGTCGGGCCCAGAAGCCCCCCGGAATGGGACTGTTCACTTCTATCTGACCAAACCGCTCTATACATCTGCACCATCTCTTCAGCATCTCTGTCGACTCACCATTAACAAATGTACCGGTACTGTCTGGGGACTGCCTTTACCAACAAGACTAAAAGATTACTTGGAAGAATATAAGTTCCAGGTGTAAGTGTTTCTGTTTTTCTAAACATCATCATATAGGCTATCTCCAAATGCAGCTATGTAAGACAACACCAAAACTTGAGCGACTGGATAACTGCACAGAATTCTAAAAACAGCTGAAGTCAACCTAATTTAAATGAGTAAAGAGGTAGCTAGGTATTTAAAATTCCCCTAGATCTTTTCACCTGAGTGATGCTTCCTTTCCTAAGGCTGACCAAGATCAGTTGATCCTTTTAACTAAGAAATAAAATGCCCCAAGTAAAGGCTGAGGGAGCATTTTATCGGAATGCCTTGTCTTTCTGAAGTTCCTTTGCGTTAGGTCCAAGGTCCAAGTTCCAAGTTCCAAGCTCCAAGCTCCAGTAACAAATAGGAGTGGAGTACTGAAGAAGCAAAAGGAACCAAGCTGATGCAGGCTCAACCTTGCGTTTATACGCCTGATGATCAGTATCTTTAAGGACATTTTATATGTTGCATTCTGATGTATGTAGTTTTGTCGAACACATCATGCTTGTGAGTATTTATCCCTCATTTTATGCAATTAACCAAATCAACAACAACAACAAAAAGTGACCATAAGATCCTGTATTTGTTTTTTTTACTACAGGTATGAACTCTCCTGTGAATGAGTACTGTAGTAACCCATTTCAAGGGAGCCTTATTTCAGAAATATTTCAAATTGGTGCAAATGGAAAAGACTTTCTCTTTTCCTTTAAGGCTAAAGACAAGAATGTCATGCTCTACAGGTGCAACTCAATCTCTGTTAATAAAAACCAGTGTAGATATAGACATTTTACCCTTTGAAGTACCTGTGCCCCAAACTATTGCCATTGATTTTTTTGGAAATGGCTTTAGAAATTTCCCAGTCCTTGAATTGTCTAACCATGGACATCAGCAGTTGTCTCCCTTCTACTGTGTAGAATACCTTGACTTAATTTTCTTCCATATATAGGGGGATACCTGCCTGCTTTTCAAAGTGTTTATTTACTGCTGTTACTATTTGATTAGAATATATTAAATAAAGAGAAATCTGACTTTAAAAAAAAAAGACAAAACAGCCATAGGAGTAACACACCCATGTTACACACAGATGAGCGATGACCCAGAATCTCAGCAGAGAACTGTAAACAGTAAATTTTAAACAAAAGTTCAAATTCTAGAACCAAAAATAGCACTGCAGTTGAGGCTAATGGATGTTAAATAGCAGTTTAGACACTTGAGTAGAGATTTAGGAAATGGAACAGGTCTTTCATGTGATAGAATTAGCTAATGAGATGATCTGAGTAAATTAATTGGTGATTCCAGGGATAAGACTAATATTTTAAATTATTTATGTTCCTAATTGGTATAAAAATGTACTCACCAGAGAGTTTGGAGCAAAATACATGTAAACTTCAAAGAGTAAATGATAAATGTATGAATGCAGTAGCTCAGGATTTTATGTACCTTTGAAACTACACTAATAAAAATTATTGTTCAAAAAAAATAAATAAATAAATACTGCAGTTTGGATCAGGCATGTCCCCCCAGTGCTCATGAGTTTAAGAACTGATCCCCAGTGCCAATGTTCAAGAGGTGGGGCTTTAGGGAAGTGACTGGCTCATGAGGACTCTGACCTCATTGGTGGATTGATCCAGGGATAACTGAATTCTCATTGTGGACGCTAGGCAGGTAGGCCTGTGTGGAGGAAGTAGGTTACTGGGGACTATATTTTTCCCTTGGGAACTATATTTTGTTCCTGGCCCCTCCTCTTTATCCTTCCTCCCCCTCCCACCCTCTCTCTTCATCTTGGCTACCATGAGGTGAGCAGCTTTCCTCCTTATGATATTCTCACTCATCTCAGTTCCAAAGCAATGGAACCAGCCAACCATGGACTGGCACTTCTGAAACTATAAGCCAAAATAAATCTTTCCTCTATGTTGTTTTTCTCAGATATTTGTCACAGCAATGAAAATCTGGCATACACAATAAATAAGTCACTTACCCTTTCTCAAAGTCTTGAATCATACTGTACTGTCATATCTTTGCAAAACAGGTTATGCTTCAAAATCCTATGCATGGTCTGCAAAGCAAAACACAACTGTTTCTTATACAAATGTTAATCACTATGAAATGTCAACACAATACATGACACTTTCATTAATTAAAAAATATAATAAGACCAAAGAACAAGCAATACATTTCCCGTGTAAATGCTGCCTCTTGGGCTGGGGATGTCTCTAGTGGTATAGAACTTGCCTAGCATGCACAGGGTTCCTTCCCTAGCAACACAAAAACCAATCAACAATAACAAACTGTCCCCCTTCTGTTCTGCTCCTCCTTTTGTCTCTCCATGACTGACTCTGGTATTTTCTGCTAAACTATCTCTTAGTTCACATGTTAGCAAACTATAGCCCACAAGCCAAATCCAAACTGCTTTGTAAATAAAGTTTTATTGGAATATAGACACAAGTTCCACATAAGTATTGTCTCTGGCTGCTTTCACACTCCAACAGTAGGGGGTGAACAGTTGTGACAGAGAGCTCAGAGCCCACAAGATCTAAAGTATGTATCATGTGGCTCCTTATAGAAAAGGTTGGCTAACCTGTTCCATTTCCTAAATCTCCACTCAAGTGTCTAAACTGCTATTTAACATCCATTAGCCTCAACTGCAGTGCTATTTTTGGTTCTAGAATTTGAACTTTTGTTTAAAATTTACTGTTTACAGTTCTCTGCTGAGATTCTGGGTCATCGCTCATCTGTGTGTAACATGGGTGTGTTACTCCTGTGGCTGTTTTGTCTTTTTTTTTTAAAGTCAGGTTTCTCTTTATCATCTCCTACCTTAGTCCCTATGATAGTCATTCTCTTCTTTCCTGTCTTGCATTCTCTTTTCAATCCTAATCTCCAACTGCAACCTAAATAATCCTTTGCAGAATGGTTCACTAATTCTTTTAAACCTGGGTCCCAGGGTACTGTGTAAACTCATCTGTCACCTCCTTGCCTTCTCTTCCTCCCTGGTACTTCACGTTGTAGTCTCAGAGTGCTCGTTGGGTGTTGGCATGGTTTTTGCCACCTGCTAGCATTCTTTCCAATCACTGCAAATTCATTCAACTTCATAACCTACTGTGTGAAGACTGAAAAACCTCACGTTTTAATTCACATTTTATAGATGCAGACATCAAGGCACACAGAAGTCAAGTCTATGCCCCCGATCACATAGCCACCCAGCCCTGCAGTTCATACTCTGGAACGCTGATCACGGGCCTCTCAGTCTCTTCTCTGAATGATCCAAATGCTTCTGGCAAAAGAGCCAGCCTCATGAACTTCTGACCTGTGCTCCACTCTGCTCCCGGATCTGCCAGTTTCTACTCACCTGTCAGGCTTTGGCCCTCTGATTCTCCCATCCATAGGAGTCATCTCCACAGCTTTGCCTGTGTCCTTCGTTTTCTCCATTGTGCTCCTTGGTCAGCAGCTCACCACACTGGTCTCTGCACAGGCAGGCTTAGCGCTGTGGCCTCAGTCTCAGTTTGCTTCATGGTGGCACTCAGGATACTTAATAAAGGAAGGTTTCCATTCCTCTGAAATCGAAGCAAGTGATAATTCTTACTGATCCCTTTTGTAATAGAGATTGCTTTGTATATACCTGGAGACATGTGAATTTGGCATTGAGGATTGCAAGAATGGCTGACTTTGTAGCAAAACATGCATTTATTCTTATAAAATGGTATTTTACTCACGGATTTCTATCTGATGATGGTATGAGGATCTTTTGGCATCATCTGTGCAAACTATAACAGTTTTTTTTTCTTTAAATTCATTATTATGCAAGCAACCCATTATCTGTATAAGGAATTAAAAGTGACTTGGGGAGAAATACAGTTAAAATCTATACTACCCCAGATAAACACTGTGAACATTTTTGGTATGTGTGTTCCTGATTTTTTCCCCCTGCTTGTGCATTTTCTAAATGGAATTATTTGTATTGCTTTTAAACTAGCATTTCTCATTTATTGTGTACTGACTGCTTTTCAGTGCCTGTAAATGCACCTTGATATAATCACCTAATTAGTGACTTAATGGATATTATGTAATTTATATAACCCAGCAACTACTAATTAGCATCCAGGTTGTGACTAGATTTTCTGCTGATGTAAATAATGTTAAAATAAATATTTTTGCAGTTCATTCTTGGTACACCCATCTAACATACTTCTAGAAATGGACATTGCTGAGTGTGTACTTTTTCTTATATTAACTCTAAATTGCCTAATTTAAATGGCGTTTCAAAAAAGCCACACCAACTTATATTCCCATGAGTGGTCTAGGAGAAAATATTTCCAAGCCACACTTGATGTTGTCAGTTTCTTTAATTTTACAATGCAATAGCTGAAAAATGATTCCATTTAATTTTTACATTCTTGGGATTCCTAATAAGGTAGTTTCCCCATGTTTCTTGGCCCTTTGATTTCATTTGTGACTTGTATGTCCTGTGCTTGGGCTCAGTCTTCATGCGCCTAGAAAGCTAGCAATTTGGACTTGGATTTTAACTTTGCTGTTGTCTGTGAAAGTGAGGCTATTTGTGTAACCTCCTCGAAACTCGGCTTCCTCCCTTATAAATGTGGAGGAATACTTTTATACCTGCTTCAGAATTCTCTTATTAAGACCAAGTGAGAGAGTGTGTGGATGGGAGGTGGTCAGCATGGTGCCTTGCATGTGTTCTCTAGCCCAGGAGTCTGAGCCTGACCTTGTATGTATTCAGTAAAGCCCCATCGTCTACTTAGCTTCAGTGACTTCTTCCATACAACCCTCTTTGGACATAGTGTACCACTCAGGTTTCTGTTGTATTTTCTAAGGCTTCATGGCCTCCTACTGATACTGAATATGTTCCTGTTATCAGGAAGAGAGAGGATACTAAAATAATATAGGAAACTAAGCTTATTCATGGAGCCATCTCAATTGGCCAAAAGTCTGAAATGAATTGTTGTCTTGCAAATTCACCAGAGGCACCTTTGTCTTTTGGACCATGACAGAAATATGGGGCTGCGGAAGGCAAGCCTCTAAGTGACCTGAGGAACATGGCCAAAGAAGCTGGGGAAGAATGCCCTTTCTTTACACCTCCCAGAGGAGAGACGTTAGACCAGGTATGTACTTACCACTGACCCCAGTTGCCAAGTTGGGGGACTTAACATTGTCAGAATGGCTGAATCTGACTCACTTGTAAATTAGACATTTGTGAATTATAGCCAAGCAATTCGAAAGTTGCTTTGTTTATAACACAACTCTGCATGATGTTATTTCTTTTTTCCTTTTTAAGGCATCTTCTCTTTCTCATTTGCTGCTAAGTTAGCAGCCATTACTGATCATGAATTTAAGGAGAACTATTCTTTTACGGCACATCTAAGAAAAAATTGTTTGTGAAGCAGTAGCGAGCAGCAGTGGTGTTCAGGGGGACTAAGCAAATCACTCAAGGGTCGGGTCATTCTGAACATGAACTCTGGCCACTGCTGCCCAGCAGCTTTTGAGTGACATCCTCAAGTGCTCACGCTTCTAATAAGTCATCATCTTTGAACTGTGTTATTGATAATTTTCCCTCTATTCTTTATCTTTGTAATTTTCTGATAAACTCTATTACCTTAGTAAGAAAAAGATTTGTTGTTGTTCCAGCTGAATTGAAGTGCCACATAGTTTCTTGGTGAACATGATTTTATGGCTTTCTGTTCACTTGTAGATTTCCTTAACCTAGTGCTCTGAAGTCAGGAATTAGAACAATATCCTACTCATCTGTATCCCTGGTTTGCCTCCAGAAATGTGGTAGGCACTTTCTTGTACCTGTGAAATCCCCAATTGAATGATCGGAAATATAGATTGAGATTCATCTACTTAGGTGTCCTTACACTGACCCATTAGAAAAGTAGGCAGTTATGTCATGTTTATGTTTTCAGGAGATCATTAATGTCCGTTTATTTCACATTTTCTTTCTTTCATTATAAGGTGGAAATTCATGGAAAACAGTTTTTTGAATTTCTGTGTCAGCTAATCCTGAAAGAAGCAGATCAAAAGCAACGGTTTTCTACAGGAGCTCCAAGCAACAATCTAGAAACTTCTTTGGCAGAGATATTTCCTTTAGAAACAAACTACAACTCTGAAGTTAATTCCGACAGTGGCGCTCCAGGATTAGTGGCCAGTGTCTTAGTCGTGAGTCATGGTGCTTACATGAGAAGCCTGTTTGGTTATTTTCTGACTGACCTTAAGTGTTCCTTGCCAGCATCTCTGAGAAAATTTGAACTTTCGTCAGTCAGTCCCAATACTGGGATTAGTCTCTTCATCATAAGCTTTGAGAAAGGAAAAGAACCTACACCGAAGTGTGTTTGTATGAACCTACAGGATCATCTAAATGAAGTGACCAAAACACTCTCAGTTTAGATCTGCGTCAAAATTCTAACAGTTTTGAGCTTCTGAAGGGAGGGCCTTTGGCTTGCTTTATTTCCGTCCTTTGCTAGTGCTAATTTGGAAATAGTTAAAAATCATATTATAAACTCTTCTGGAATGTCAGCCACATCACACAGTAGTGGAAAGCCATTTAGAATTGACTTATGTTGTCTTGAGTGCAGCCTGCGTTTTCCACCCTGCTTTTGATCTCATCTCTGAGTGATAAATGGAAGGAACTCAGTGTTGCAAGTTGGGGGATTCACATCCTTATTATAGAAAATTTTTCCCCTTTTAAAAAATGTTTGTTTGTGTGTTTGTTCTTTAATGAAAAAAATTAGCCTATTTGATTGATTGATTCTTGGTAAGATAATGTATATTTTTTACTATCACATCCAAGTCTTGAAAGAACTATTTATATTTCCCATTGCATATTTATAGTTACTGTTATATTTTGAAAGAAAAGTTCTTTAAATGGAAAATTCATACCATTATAAGTCTCTATATAAAGTAAAATGATAAAATGACACTAAAATCTTTTACTTAGAAACAAGCTGTTGGATTTTTGTTGTTGTTGTTGTTCAAGAGGGCTTGAAATGTAGATGAATGCAGATTATGAGTGCAGAGCAACCTGGGGGAGGAGGTGAAGACATCATTTGACTAAAACACATCACAGATGGAAGCTCTGGGCAGAAGGTAAAAGAGCAGTGTGCTCTTCTATCTTGCAAAACACAAAGTCAGTGGAAGCCAAGAAAGTCCCCAAAAGAAGTTTGACTCAGAGAGTAAAGACCACTATCCACTTGCTTCTTCTTTAACCTATAGGCTGAAGAATTTCCAGTTTGGGGAAGGCTCCAGAGAAAGGGAACTATCAACTATGTGGGAACCTCAGAACCTAGAGGGAGCTTCATTGAAAAGCATGGGGCAACTGTGGTTTTTGGTGGAAGGTACAAATGAAGTTATCTCTGCCTTCCACTAGATGGCGATGGAGGAAAGGAATTTTGACTAACCTAATTTGGACATCAGCTTGATCCTTCAAAAGTCCTTGTCTAAATGAAGGCAGTGTCTTACATGTAGTTTGCTTTTAAGTAATCATGTTGCTGAGTGCCATAAATTTTAGCTTACAAGAGGATGAATGCTAAGCCTGTTAGTTAAGGCTAAGATCACTTTTGGCTGATATCTCCTTTGAATATCATTTAAATCTTTTGTAAAGTTGTATATTTCAGCATTCTCTGTGTGTCCACACTACCATGTTTTCTGCCAGATCGGAAACAGGGCGTGGATTTGAGCACTGGAGCAAGTACACTCGAAATAAGTACTTGAAATGATAACCTAAAAGAACAAATAATATCCTCATTCTCACCGTCCCCAAGTAATTCCTTTCTCTTTTCTTTTTCCTCCAAAGAAATAAAACATTGAGATGTAAGAAGAGTTTCCTTTAATTAATTCTCACAGTGCTGTTCCCCTGCAGAGGTGACCACTGCAGTGAGTGAGTGAATGTGTTCATCTCTTCTTCTCGTGTTCACCCCGTGTCTGTGATGCAGCAGTATTGTTTGGTGCTTTAGAAATGTACATGAATATCATCGAGCTGTCTGTGTTCTTTATTTTTACCTATTCTGTGTTGGGACACTCTCTATGTTGATATATATAGACCTAGTTAATTATAACCACTGTACTCTCATGAATAAATATAGCACATGTGGTTTATTATTCTATGAGTGGACATTTAGGTCTCTTCAATATTTCTCCATTGAAACACTGTCACAAGGAAGAATCTTTAGTCTGGCTCCTTGTGCAGAATGGAAATTGTGCCAGATGTCTCTTCATGGTGGCTGTGCTACTTGTCAATGCCACTGGCAGTACCAAGAATGCCTCCCTTCCATATCTTGTCAATACTCGGTACCACCTAACTGGTTTTTGCTAATCTGATGAGTAAAAAATATTATCTCACTATTTTATTAAGTTTTTCTGTGATTGTTAATGAACCTGGGCATTTTTTTTTCCCAAATGAATGACAGTTCCGGTCTCCTTAGATTGCTGATTCACTGGTTTATGTTCTTTGCCTGGTTTTCTATTGGCTTGTTCAAGTCAAACCAGTATATCCTGTTCTTTTATGTGTGTGTGTGTGTGTGCACTTGGATCTTGAAGAAGCCTTCTCCATGATAAAATCATGGAATAATCTTCTTTCTTTTCTCTTATAGTTTTAGGGTTTTTTTGTGCTAGAAAAAATATTTACAAAAGTTCATATGCTTGCTCACATACAAAAATATCCATAGAAATGGTTTTCTGTACACACAGTAGAGGGTAGGGAGTCTCTTTGGTTGTCTTTGTATAAAAGGTAGTGGCGACGATCTTGAGCTCAATAAGTTCATGATTTTTTCCACATGCTCTATTTCAAAATAAAGATTTTTTTGAAAAATATTGTATCTTCAGGAGTATACAGGAAACAGGTTTTTTTTTTTTTTAAATTTCAATGTGTATGTGATCCTGTTTCTAGAAAATTCCAAACCCCAGACAAAAAATGCTCACATCAAAGGCTCAAAATCTTGGCAAAGGGGACTCAGGCTATCTTCATCTGAATAGAATGCTGTTCCCAGGGCGTCCAGCCACCATTCATTTTTAATTAACATTTTCTTACTAACTCACTAGTCCACCAATAATGGCCAAGTGTTTGCCATGTAAGGTGCCAGGTCTCTGCTGGGCCCTGGGAGGGTGAAGGCAAGAGTTATTCAAGGGACCATGCCTCTGAAGGAAAGGGTGCTAAGATAAATAAAATCATCTATTTTTTAATTTGACCACAAATGGTTTATCATATTAAAAGCTATGAAACTCCATTTTAAAACTATTTAATAAAATTCTAAAAATACTTGACTACAAAATGAAATGCCCAGGACAGGAGCTAAGAGGGACAGGCTGCCATGGTCAGCTGGCTCAGCGGTCACCTCAGCCTTGGACTTGGGCAGGAGGTGAGGCAGAGCCAGTGAGCGTCTCCCTTCCTGTCCAGGGGAGCATCACCAGGGACTGCCATTTCCACCAGAGTCTCTGGTGGGGCGAGACCCAGCTCCTGCCATGCCTGCCTCCTTAGCCTGACATGGTGCAGTTGGTCTCAGCAACTGGGATACAGGTTACCAGCTCCAGCTCTGCAGCCAGGCCCAGTTCCACCATTTTCTCCTGGGACCTCGGGCAAGTCATATTTCATCTCAGAAGTCCATATCGCTTGCATAGACAGCAAGTGTGGGACAGGGATCTATGGCCACCCCTGTGAGGCAAGGTGGGCTAAACCCGTTGAGACTAGGGCAATGCTTGGTACCTAGGGCAGCCTTAAGGCAATCAGTATGTCACAGGTACCAGTCAGAGGTGACCCGCTGCACACTTGTAGTGCTTCCTGGCACACTGATACAAACTTTAACTGGAGGCAAAGGACACAAAGTTGGAAGTTTCCTATAAAAGGCCAAATTACCTGGCTTTTCTAGAAAAGATCAGAAAGCTGTAGGACAGGGGATAGCCAGCTGCTCCAGAGCCTTTGGCTGGTGGGTCAACCACGGGCTCCAAGTGCTAGCTGCTGTTTACCACCTAGGGACTTCAGGGTGGGCTCCAACTGAGCACCCCTGAGCCCACCACCTGGCACAGATCGACAAGGCCCCAGACCCAGTCTCTGCCTCACAGGGCTGCAAGCTACCTGCCTCGGAATGCAGGCGGACTTCTGCCCAGAGGCCCATCTCCAGGAGACCTGTAAAAGTTTGCTGGGGTCTGGGGGTTCCTTGCTCCCTCCCAGTTACACCATGGGATCACTCGGGAATTCAAACAAATGCAGAAGCTCAGTCCCACCCCAGACCTCACTCTGCTCAGCAGTGCCTCCAAGTCTGAGAAGCACCCTACACCTCGGAGCCCTCCCGTGGGTAGATGAGGCTGTTGACCATGCCCAGGTTGTAGAAGGGGCTGCTGAAGGGGCTGCTCTGGCCCCCACCGGCACTGGCCGGGAACGGGCTATAGTAGGAAGATCTCTGGCTGCTGCTGCTGCTGCTGCTGCCCAGCGCCAAGGTGTCTGCAGAGGCCTCGGAGATGGAGGTGGAAGAGAAGATGCTGCTGGAGGGCAGCTGAGGGCCCTGGGCCCCCAGGTGGCAGCCACCAGGGCTGGCGCTCTGGGCACTCCCACCGCTGCCAACGCTGAGACCGCTGAGGCTGCTGAAGAAGGCACCGAGGCAGGGGGTGGAGGCCAGCACAGGGCCACCCGGTGGGGACCCGGGGCTCTTGGCGCCCTCAGGCTCCGGAGACTGCGCTGGCAGCAGCACAGAGGAGGGGCCTTCTCCCTGCGGGGCGCCGCCCACCGGGCCCGCAATCCCGAGGACAGCCCTTCTTCTGACATGGAAGTCCCCGTGGCCACCGCAGAGCTGCTGCTGGCCTCTGAGCGCCGCTTGCGCTTCCTTCGGAAGTTTCCATTATCAAACATCATCTTGCAGTTTGGATCCAGAGTCCAGTAATTACCTTTCCCTGGGTCATCCTCGTCGCGGGGCACCTTCTTGAAGCAGTCATTGAGCGACAGGTTGTGGCGAATAGAATTCTGACAGCCAGCCTTGTTGCGCTGGTAGAAGAGGAAGCTGTCGGCCACGAACTGGTAGATGTGGCTGAGCGTAAGCTTGCGATCGGGCGCGCTCTGGATGGCCATGGCTATGAGTGCTGAGTACGAGTAGGGCGGCCGCACCATCTTCATCAAGTCTTCGCGGCTGGCC